TTTCATCCTGGACAGTGGCTCTCACACTCACTAGTCCTCTGCCTCCTTCCTGACGGCTTGTGTACAGTCTCAGGGTGCTGGATTTGGGKTGGAACCCTCCATGCATGGTTAGTAGCTTCTGAGTCTTAACATCCGCGGCCTTCATCTCTTCCATTGGCCAGCTAATTATTCCGGCAGGGTATCTGATTACTGGTAAGGCATAGCTGTTTATTGCATGGATCTTGTTCTTGCCATTGAGCTGGCTTCTCAGGACTTGCCTTATTCATTGGAGGTATTTGGCTGTGGCTCCGTTCCTTGTGACCTCATTGAGGTTGCCATTTGCTTGTGGTATTCCCAGGTACTTGTAGCTGTGCTCTATGTCTGCTATTGTTCCCTCTGGGAGTGAGACCCCTTCTGTGCGGATGACCTTCCCTCTCTTTGTAACCATCCGACCACACTTCTCTAGTCCGAATGACATCCCAATGTCAGTGCTGTAGATCCTGGTGGTGTGRATCAGTGAGTCAATGTCTTGCTCACTCTTGGCGGATGTCATCCATGTAGAGGGAGAGACCACCTGCGGAGGGTGAGAAGGGAATTTTATTTTTATATACAGTATATTTAACCGCAAAGAGAAGTTAATTCAGTTTGTTTTATGATGCCTCGCGCTGCAGGTGAACCAGCAGTGGAGGGGTTTTCACATCAGGCCACCCGAACACCTCTGCCATCCGGGATGAGTTGATGCTTCTGTCCGGGGTGGAGTGGTGTGTAATCGGCTGCAGTGTCCGGAATGATCCGGGGGACAGAACACTCGTCAGGCCCAGACTGGGCTGTATTGTGAATTTTAATAGAAACAGGGAACCAAACATAAATGAAAAGATATTCGTTCTGTTCTGTTTTGGACCAAAGTCATATTTTAACAGTTTTTATTTATTTATTTATTTTGCCTGAACTTTACATGATTTCATGTTGTAACAGCTAAATGTGAGTTTGCATGTATATCATGAAACTTTACTTTTTACAAAGTCATTTATTTAGAACATTCAGAAATGTTTTCAAGAATGTTAGTTTGTCAAAATAAGCTAATGTCATGTAGTCTCGTTGTAAAAAACTTTCTCTCCTCCTGGCCACACCTCATCCCCCCCCCCCCCCCCTCAGAGTCTCCACTTTATTTGCGTTGGGGGCGGAGTTATCCTTTCACAGTAAGTTCCACTTTAAGTTTGTGTAAGATCTGGCTTTTTATTTTATTATTATTTTATACTAAATAGTGATTAAAAAAAAACTTTTCCAACGAACACCAAACCATAAAAATGTTTGAATGTTTTCAAATTTAATATTGTTTTGAAATTGTATTTTTATAGCCTGTTGCCTAGCAACACAGGCAATAGCTAAAACAGGCCACCTGCTCTATGATCAGTAAAATTCTCTAGTGGGCGGGGCCTGCTCTTTGAGCTGATGATGTCATCATGACATCATCAGCTCCAGTGGGCGGGGCCTGCTCTTTGAGCTGATGATGTCATCATGACATCATTAGAATTTGCATATTTAATCATTTAACTTTACATATTTCTGTATGTGTTCATTCCAGACCTGGAATTCATTGCGAACACATCTCTTCCAAATTTGGAGAATTCTAGTAAGTTATTTGCATCTTTTTGCACATTTGAGTATTTTCTCGTTATTGGAATATGAAATCCAACACGGGAAACAACCTTTTGCAAATTCTGCAAAAAAACGCAGAAATGAGCACCTTTAAGGATTTTGCTCTTCCAAACAAAGAAAGCTTTATTTTGGTGTCAGAGTATGATTTCCACCAAAAACTGGCATCCAAGGATGAATCAATCGCTAAACTGAGACAAGATTTAGCACAGAGAGAGGCTGAAATGGAAAACATCAGATCTTCTCTGCAGCAGTTACAGGAAACCATGAAAAACAAGGAAAAGAAATGGAGGCTAGAAAAACGGAGTTTCCTGTATGAAAAACAAGACATGTCCGATCTTTTGGAACAAGAAACAACCAGGTTCCAACAAGAACTGAATTCTGAAAGAGAAAAATCAGTTCAGCTTGAAAATCACATCAAATATCTTGAGAGCGAAAACGAGAAGAATCTCTCAGAAATGAAAGACCAAAGAACTGCGTTTAAAAAGGCCACCGACCGTACCATGCAACTTGAACTAACTTTGATGGCTAAAAAACAAGAGACTGAACAGGTGGAGAAATCTCTGGACCGTTCAAAGAAATACATCGAAGAACAAGAGAAAGAATGGAATGAAGAAAGAACAGGCCTCCTTGTTCAGCAGTACCAGATGTGTGCCCAATATGAACGAGCTGCCGCCAAAATACGAGAGACTCTGCTGTCTGAGAGACGAGATTTAGAGCGTTCACAACACCAGGTGAGGCTTCTAGAAACCTCACACAAAGCAAAATGTGCTGAACTTCAGCAAGTGACAGAGGAAAAGTCCTCAGCAATCACACACTTAGAAGAGTCTCTAAGAACAGAACAAGTTAGGACCGAACAGCTCGAGATTTCTTTAACCCAGAAACAGGATGAAACACAAACCATCAGGGAATCATTGGAGCATTTACAGAAAATCATACGAGAACAGGGAGAGAGCGAAAAGATGAAAAAGAAACCTAAAAAAATCACTTGGTTCAAGTTGTTTAAAAGAAAGACCCCCGCTCCGCCTGACGCCTCGCTTCCTCCGTCCTCATAACTTTGGAATAATTTAACTGGTTTTTTACAAATATTTATTAATATTTATTAATT